GAAATCTAGAGTTGTCTCTATCTGATTCCCAACTTTTCACAGACTTAAAATTAACGTAGAACCGCTGCCGAGAAAATTTTCCGTGTCGGCCAGACAACTGAAATCTAGAGTTGTCTCTATCTGATTCCCCAACTTTTCACAGACTTAAAATTAACGTTGAACCACTGCCGAGAAAAATTTTCCGTGTCGGCCAGACAACTGAAATCTAGAGTTGTCTCTATCTGATTTCCCAACTTTTCACAGACTTAAAATTAACGTTGAACCGCTGCCTGCTGAAATCTAGAGTTGTCTCTATCTGAAAACTGCCGAGAAAATTTTCCGTGTCGGCCAAACAACTGAAATCTAGAGTTGTCTCTATTTGATTTCCAACTTTTCACAGACTTAAAATTAACGAGAAAAATTTTCCGTGTAGACAACTGAAATCTAGAGTTGCTATCTGAGACTTAAAAAACGTTGCCGAGAAAAATTTTCCGTGTCGGCCAAACAACTGAAATCTAGAGTTGTCTCTATTTGATTTCAACTTTTCACAGACTTAAAAATTACTGCCGAGAACCACTGCCGAGAAAATTTTCCGTGTCGGCCAGACAACTGAAATCTAGAGTTGTCTCTATCTGATTTCCAACTTTTCACAGACTTAAAATTAACGTAGAACCACTGCCGAGAAAATTTTCCGTGTCGGCCAGACAACTGAAATCTAGAGTTGTCTCTATCTGATTTCCAACTTTTCACAGACTTAAAATTAACGTGAAAATTTTTTCAGACAACTGAAATTTTCTCATTTGATTTCCAACTTTTCACAGACTTCAAATTAACGTAGAACCACTGCCGAGAAAATTTTCCGTGTCGGCCAGACAACTGAAATCTAGAGTTGTCTCTATTTGATTTCCAACTTTTCACAGACTTAAAATTAACGTAGAAACACTGCCGAGAAAATTTTCCGTGTCGGCCAGACAACTGAAATCTAGAGTTGTCTCTATTTGATTTCCAACTTTTCACAGACTTCAAATTAACAGAACCACTGCCGAGAAAATTTTCCGTGTCGGCCAGACAACTGAAATCTAGAGTTGTCTCTATTTGATTTCCAACTTTTCACAGACTTCAAATTAACGTAGAACCACTGCCGAGAAAATTTTCCGTGTCGGCCAGACAACTGAAATCTAGAGTTGTCTCTATCTGATTCCCAACTTTTCACAGACTTAAAATTAACGTTGAACCACTGCCGAGAAAATTTTCCGTGTCGGCCAGACAACTGAAATCTAGAGTTGTCTCTATCTGATTCCCAACTTTTCACAGACTTCAAATTAACGTAGAACCACTGCCGAGAAAATTTTCCGTGTCGGCCAGACAACTGAAATCTAGAGTTGTCTCTATCTGATTTCCAACTTTTCACAGACTTAAAATTAACGTTGTTGAAAATTTTCCGTGTCGGCCAGACAACGTTGCTCTAGAAAACTTAAAATTAACGTTGAACCGCTGCCAGAAAATTTTCCGTGTCGGCCAGACAACTGAAATCTAGAGTTGTCTCTATCTGATTTCCAACTTTTTACAGACTTAAAATTAACGTTGAACCGCTGCAGACAACTGAGTTGTCTCTATCTGAAATTTTCCGTGTGAACCGCTGCCCAGACAACTGAAATCTAGAGTTGTCTCTATCTGATTTCCAACTTTTCACAGACTTAAAATTAACGTTGAACCGCTGCCGAGAAAATTTTCCGTGTCGGCCAGACAACTGAAATCTAGAGTTGTCTCTATCTGATTTCCAACATTTCACAGACTTAAAATTAACGTAGAACCACTATTAATTCGAAAACATTTATATAATTTAAATTCTTTATATAATCATTAAAAAAAAAACTGAAAAAGAAAACAGTAAATAAATTTTGGAAGCGAATGGAGTTTCGTAATAAACGTTAACAGATTGATTCAACCGGAATGGTTAGTCGTGGAAATGATGTCGTTTGTAAAAACGTTATTAAATTCTTATATTCAACATTTCGCTCGCTTCTTCAGGCAATTTCATTCCACTTGAAGAAGTCCATTCAGAAAATCCACAGAGAGTCAGGGATTAAATAATAAATCTGAACAAGCGTAGAGGATAGTATCAGACATTCAGGCATTGGTGGATGAAAAATGCGCATGCGCAGTCTAGAGAAGATTTACACGAGATGGAGGCAAATCAGTCGATTTTTTTTCCTTGCCTAGTGATTCGAAATTCCATTTGAGGCGGGGAAATTGGCAGCCTCCATAAACATGTTTTTGGTATTCCAAGAAATTTTTTTTGGTAGAACGTTCTTGTTTGTAAACAAATTCATTGTAACAAAGACGATAAAAATACTAAAACAAGAAGAAGAACAAGAATAACAACAGTAACAACAACAATAATAATAATACACATATATACTTTACAATAAATATAGACAGATTATAGACAGAACAATTAATGCTAATCCCTCTGACATCATGATTAGAGACCGCAAAGACAAAATGTGCCTCTTTATTGACATTGCAGTCCCTGCAGACTGTAATGTATCTTGGGGGGGTCTTCAAAAAGAAAAAATACAAGGACCTTGAAGTCGAAATCTCACAAATATGGCAAATAAGGACATCAACATTTTCAGTTGTAGCCGGATCCCTCGGATTAAATGGAAAATTTCCGATAGAATCAATGAAGGCATTCCTGGTGGCTTATGCAAAGAGCTTATAAAGGGATTTACAGGGGGGCTTTGTCTTTGTAAAATATATATATATCTTTTTTTTTTCCTTTTTTATTCCTCATATAAGGCTCAGTGGAAATAATCATGATGCCACTTCTGACCTTAGGTCTCTGGTTGGTACCCGGAAAGAAATAAATATACACCAGAAATCAAAAGAAATAATAATAATAATAATAATAATAATAATAATAATAATAATAATTGATATGGCAGTCAATGTGGACTGCAATGTATCTTTGAAGATCTTCAAAAAGCTATCAATAAAAGGACCTTGAAATCGAAATCTCACAAATGTGGCACATGAGGACATCAACAATTCCACCTGTAGTTGGAGCTCTCGGATTGATTAGAAAAGATTCCAATAGACTCAATGAAGGAATCCCTGGTAACCCATGCCTTAAAAGAATACAAAAAAATGTACTCACAAGTACAGCTCACACCTGACAAAGGCCTTTATCTATGTAAAATAAGTGCGATTCTTTTTTCAAAACTGCTCAGAGGAAAATGTCATGATTCTATTTCTGACCTTAGAAAATTTACATTTAAAGACAGACAATATTTTAGATTGTAAGACTTATTTTTTGGGAAATAATAATGATTTAGTGATACAAGTTTTATTATTAACCCATAGATATGAGGAGCAGAGGTGGGTCCATACCTTTCCCAATATTTGCGCGTAATTGAATAAAACGACCCCAACGGGAATCAAAACTCGGCTCTTGGACTAACAGTTCCGAGGTCTTACTTGACTTGTATCGGTTTTCACCCTGGTCGGGTTGAACCGGCTTCCTCCCGAGCAAGTACAGCATCACGGACCATCGCTGCCCACGCTTGCCGATCCTGAGCCAGGTCACACGAAATGGTGAGCCAATTGCGATTCCATTGTCGAAGACCAACTACTTGTAGACCTGATAGTACTACTAAGTCATCCTTGATTGTGCTAGCCCACGTCCTCAGCTGCCCACCGACACGTTTTCGCCAGCCAGGAAGAGAAGGAGGGAGAAGTACATCGCAGGATGTGCTCTCCTTCTGGGCGTCGAGCTGCGTTCCCGAACCATCGGAGACGACGCCGGAGCAGGACGAGTGGAAGAGGACGGAGACTCAGGCGACGACGTAGAGTGGCTGTGGACACACGATCGATTCGGCGCCATCGTAGAATGCAGCGAAGGCAATCGATGTCGAACTCTTCAAGCCTTCGTAGGTCAACCGCTCTATGTGGCCACGTTTCGCAGCCATAGAGAAGGATAGTCCGAACAATAGCCTGATAGATGCGCCCCTTCTTAGCCTGCCCGGATGGTATAATGGTTGAACCGAGATGGACGATAGACTGCATGTCCTCCAGATTGTCCCCGTCCAGCGTCAGTGGCTGCCAGTTGACTGTATCAACCAGGGACGGCATAACTTTGGTCTTCGAGACATTGATGGTCATACCCACATCCCGTGCTGCAGCCTGCACATGATTGAGCACAGCTTGCACATCGTCACAGTTCGATCCGACCAAGACAATGTCGTCCGCGTAGGCCAGATCAGACACGCTGACATTCCGACTAACCGCAACTACAGCGTAGTCCCGAAGAGCCTTACCGAGGATGTAGTCGATTGTATAGTTGTATAGTGTAGGGGATAGGGTACACCCTTGCCGCACACCAGTCTTCACCTCAAATGTCTCCGACTCATCACCATAAGCACGAACACAGACTCGCGTCGACCGGTAGCAGCCCTCGATGAGACGAAGGAGTTTAGCGGGCATGCCACCGGCCTCCATGATACGCCAGAGTAAGCCTCTATCAACGGATTTGAGAGCAGCCTCAAAGTCGACAAAGCAAACGACTGTTGGTTGCTGGTATGTCCAGCGTTGTTCGAGGGTGCGCCGCAGGCTGAAGATCTCATCAACACAGCCACCCTAAGACGGGCGAGTTCGCAGATCACGGATGCCTTGAAATCTTCACAGGAGAAACACTGCTAATACTTTGGCTACCACGTTGATGCGGCTAATTCATCTGTAGTTCAAGCAACACTGCACCCCCAACGGTAGATGAAGTGCGAGATATTCTGCGCCATCTGCGTAACAACAAGTCTCCTGGTGAGGGTGGTATACCTGCAGAAGTATATAAAGCCGTGCCAGATGTATTCACCTTGTGGGTGCATCGTGTCTTCAATGGAATCTGGCTCTCTGTGACCTACCCTGCCGATTGGAGCGAGGCTATCCTACTACCTTTTTGCAAAAAGGGTGATAGGAGACACTTCTCGAACTGCAGAGGAATTCCGAGGTAATCTCCATTAGAAAACACCTGGGATTTCTAAACGGTTACCCATCTAGATACTGACCATACTCGTTGCTGCTTAACTTCGGTGATCGTACGAGAACTAGTGCTTTAAAGTGATATGGCCGTAAGTCAAGGAGGGCAGAGGAAGGCAGCGCATAACCTACTTAACGAGCATGTGTAAATGTTTGACAGAACTGGGATTAGGAGAAGTATAATAAAATTACGAAATTTCTTGAGGGCTAGAAATGACGGGAAGTTGTGGAGGTCCATGGTCGTCTACGTCCTGAAGGGACACAGCACAAAGAAGAAGAAGAAGAAGAAGAAGAAGAAGAAGAAGAAGCAGACTAGTCATACTTGAATTCTTCATTTATCCGCTTTTTTGAAAACTGATCAAATATTAAGAGATTTTAAAAAAAGGCGGCCTTTAATAGTTTGATTGATGACGATGATGTTATACTACTGATGGGCTGTATCTTGCACACAAACCAACTGCCACACTAAAAAAAAAAAAAAGAAAAAAAACTGTTTCCTTTCCTTCATTCGGGAATCTAACGATCACAACTTTCTGTCTCCAAACTTATTTTAAAATATCAAAATTATCAATTTTACACAGCCACATTCTCAGATCCTTGATTGAAAATAACTTCTAGCGATTGATCTCTTTAGGGCTTAGAGAAGATCATCCTCCCTCCAGTCGTATAGAGGCTGGATTATTCCGTGTGAGGAAAGAGCCAATATTACCATTAGCATTCGAGATGGGAACATATATTACACATTAATCTCAGCGTGATAGTCAAACAATGAAGGATAGTGTAATTCAAGCAGACTTCTCTGTCCATGAATGCCGAATGTTTCCATATCGCCTACGTTTTAGTAATGTGGCCCTTAGGGCTTTAAAACGAAGTATTAACCATGAGGTTGGCTCTGCACTGGTCAATGTTTACGCTGGTCCAAACTGGTTGTTGGTCGCCGGCCACTTCGATCCACACCAACTCTGCCCACGCTATGTTCTTGATCTCAGAGCAGTGGTTGAACGAAGGTCGTAGCCTCGCAGCGCTGGTTCAAGACGTGCCGGGTGCTATATTAAGGTAAAATATCTTCATGACGAAAAATAAAACGAGAGGTTTGTAGGGTTAATCTTCAGTTGTCCAGTGAAAACACAAACCAGATTACCGTCTCATTATGACACGATGGATTTTCATAATCCTAAACCTCGCATTGGGTTCATTCTCTATTTTCATTTCTCAATTCGTTTTCGGTAACGAAAATATAATTCCCGTCTGTTTCTCTTTTCGCCAATGACATGTATTTTTCTAATTTCCCAAGAAAGAGATAAAGCCATTTCCCAATTTGCTTTACCCACATGCTAGATTTCTGATAGATAAAAAAAGTAAATTCTTGGTCCATTGTTCCAATACGTAGAGGTGAGGCAACGAAGGTAGCCTTTTTTGAACTTACACATTGCCAGGAAAAATGTTTTTTATTCTCTATCTCTATCTTCCAGTTTATATTTGATTTTGCGCTTCACCTTTTACCTGCTTAGAATTAATGTTTAACCACCTGATCGTATCAGTGTCAAGATATGAGAATACGGCTAATATTTTTTTTAAAAATCATTTCCCCTCACCCATGCAAAGCAATATGAGGTGACTGAGTGCGAAAGAATATATGAAAATCATTATTAAAGGAGCGAGAACAATCAGTCAGTTATATGCCCTGCGTGATACACGCTTAGGCGGCCATGTCTCTTTCGATACCTGACTGACGAGGCAGATTTGTTTTTCCGCTGTAGGTTGCCATTTATTTCTGCGGTAGAGTAGTTGCCATCCAATGCCAAACCCGGTCTGTCCATAGCTGGGTCAGAAAAAGAGGATTCATAACTTTCCCAAAGGTATTAGCGCGTCAGTCAGTTATGTGTCATGCGTGATACACACTTCGGCGGTCATGTATCTTTCGATGCATGACTGACGAGGCAGATTTTTTTTTTTTTACCCGCTGTAGATTGTCATTTCTTTCTGCGGTAGACCAACTGCCATTCAAGGCTATAGAACCCGATCTGTTTTGCTTTTACCCATATCTAGGAGGAGAAGAAGAGGATTTATACCTTTCCCAAGGGAAAAGTGAATGTAATGGGTTTGACTGGAATTCAAACTTGGTTCTCCGATTCCTCAATCCGAGACCCTATCCATTACTACACCGTGCCTCCTAAAAATGATGGCGATTAACATGGCATTTACAATATTGAAGATCATAACTGGAAAAGAAGAGTCCGGAAATGAATTCCACCATCGAGAAAATAAATTGTTAGCATAGAACTTATGGCTACGTCTAGCCATTTCGACTGTAGAATGATGAGACTTTGCCGCTGCTCTAGTACTATTCTTGAATTCACAGAGTCTAGAGAAAAGTTCATTAGAATATTTACCATGAAAGTATTTGTGGAAAATGCATAGAGAAGGTATATTATGGCGGTTGCAAAGTGACTGAAGTCGAGATGTCAGGCCAGAATCAATAATATTGCAGATTCTTCATTGGATTTAATAAACGATCTCCAAAAGTATAGGAAGAGAACCAGACCATGTGTGGCAGTAATATTCAATGCATGGACGAATGGTAGACTTGTAAATATCTAAGATTGATTTTAGGGAGAGAAAATTGTCTGCCACAACAGAGAGAACCAACTTTACTAACAGCAGACCTAGCATTCAACTCGATACAATATTTCCACTTGGGCACCTCGAGGTGGTGTAATGGTTATCAAGCTGTTCTTGCTAGAACTGTTACAATTGAGTAGTGAGTTCAATCCTCACTGTGTGCCCCATGCATTCGGCTTTGTGCCACAACTAAGCTCTGGTTAGAAATGTTACGGTTTTTTTTGGGTATATGCCATATGACTAGTGAGCGAGTCAGAATGACTTATTTCCCTTTATAGTCGACCAATAGAAGGTTGACCAATCAGAAGCCGCCCAACACTGTATTCATAGTGTATAAAGGCGGCCATCTTGTTTTCTCCTACCGGAAGGACCAAAGGCGAAGGATGAACTACACTCTGCTGTGATATCCACTGCGAACCTCCACTACGTTTTCCTACTGTCTCCGAAATATTCACTGCCAACCTCTGGATGCGATACTCGAGGACGACCGTCATGAGAATGTCTAACAAGAAAATCATTTTTTCGGCCTTGTGCCACATCTAAGCTACGCTTGGAAAATCACTATAATAGTTCAACTTCATATCATTGGAAGACATTAGCCAGAGAGGGCGAAACGAGTCAATCCTCCGGAAGCTAGCGCCAGCTATGCTGAAAGGAGGCAGGAAGGGGGTTCTCTCAGACGATTAATAAACGGCAGTTTTGTTTTAGAGGCGTTAAATTACAATAACCAGTGGTCAGTTTCTTTACGAAATTTGATTATTAAAGCTGTGCATTTGGACAAGGCCTTGTATTTATGTCATATATTGAGAGTAAACTGATTATATCTAAACAAATGCGTCTTTATTAAATGTTAAATGTGATTAATTGTTTTCCATTTACCAATGTCATGTTTATCGAAGATCGGTGTTCGACTAGAAAGAACTGATTTATTATTTCAGCCAGCAGGTAATTTGATCAATTTACCTACTGGGTTCTACGAAATCTCTGAAACATTTGATTTATTCACGTTGCATATACGAGGGGTGGAACACTTCTGAAAATATTTCCTTGCGGGAAATAATTAAGTCGAAGTAGAAAAAGTAGCAAACAATGCTTTCTTCGTTGGTTTCAGCATGGTATTGCTTTGCCATGCAATCTTTCACAGTGAGGAATTTGCTAACAGACCAGGAAATTTTGACAGGTATATTTTAAATGCTACACCTTCATGAAAATAATTCGTATTTGAAATAGGATGTATCAAAATTATTTAATAAAAGCTGTTATTGTTAAGCATGGCTTGATTGGTTTAAAGGTCACAATTATGGTCCACTCCGTGATGATTGAACCGGCTACTTATTATTTATTGTTCTCATCTTTGTCGCTATATTTATCACAACGTTTCGGCCGCTGTACGCTCCGGCCTTCTTCAGGTGGTTTGAATATCAAACAGAACCCTTTATTTTGTTCACTGGGGTAGACTGTTCTAGTTTCACGTGCCATGTTTAATGGATGTTAGTTATAAGTTATCTCCTGTTAATTATTCCTCTGAAAGTTCTCCGATAATTTATTAATAATAATAATTAATGGATTTGACTGGACGTAAGTGAATGTAATGGATTTGACTGGAATTCGAACTCGACTCTCCGATTCCTCAATCTGAGACCCTATCCATTACTACACCGTGCCTCCTAAAAATGATGGCGATTAACATGGCATTTACAATATTGAAGATCATAACTGTAAAAGAAGAGTCCGGAAATGAATTCCACCATCGAGAAAATAAATTGTTAGCATAGAACTTATGGCTACGTCTAGCCATTTCGACTGTAGAATGATGAGACCTTGACGCTGGTCTAGTACTATTCTTGAATTCACAGAGTCTAGAGAAAAGTTCATTAGAATATTTACCATGAAAGCAATTGTGGAAAATGCATAGAGAAGGTATATTTTGGCGGTTGCAAAGTGACAGAAGTCGAGTAGTCCGGTCGAATCGATTATTATTATTATTAATATTTATTACAACATTTCGGCCGTTATACGCTCCGGCCTTCTTCCTTAAGGACACATAGAACAGTGGATAAAGGCGTTGGTTAGATTCAGTGACATAAACCAAAGAGTGTGAGTTCAATACCCGGCTAAGGTAGTGGAGAACTTTCAGAGGGAAAATAAACAGGAGATAACTTATAACTAGCATCCATTAAACATGACACGTGGAACTAGAATAGTCTACCCCAGTGAACGAAATAAAGGGTTCAGTTTGATATTCAAACCACCTGAAGAATTTGCCAAAACGTTGTAATAATTATGGCGACAAAGATGAGGACAATAGTTTGAATAATGCAAATAGTGTACATAATACCTCATCTCAGAAATATAGACAGGTACTGAAGGGCCGAAACGTTGTAATAAATATGGCGACAAAGATGAGGACAATAGTGCGAATAATGTAAATAGTGTACATAATATCTCATCTCAGAAATATACACAGATACTGA